AAAAAATAATTTATAATATGATAACATTATTTTTAAAATACGGACGGTGTATGTCACGAGATAAGTAGTTCTCCAAGGAAACTCTCCATGTCCTATCACTCTCGGCGGTGGAATCTTCCAACCCATCTGTCCACCTAAAATAGTCACAATTTTATGTGATTCTCCTTAGGCACCTGTAAACATGCCTTCAGTAGCTATGTGTCTACCACAAAGTAAGCAATGAACATTATAGTTTGCAATAGCAGTCAATCCTCTGAAGGTGCCGAAAATCCTCGAGCTCATTTTTCCTAAAGGTTTAAAAACACATGCACACATAAGTAATTAATTAAAAGTCTTACGCAGTTGTGAGACCTCAGAGAACTCAATATATAAACTAATGAATGTCATTACAAGAAGATATATGACATTATAAAAAATATTCTCGGTTGACTTCAACCCACAAAATATCGAGCTCGTGTGTGTCATATATGCATATCAACAAAAGAGATCGTCTAGAAGAACCTCAAAAACCACTGAAAAAGGAGAAGATGTTGGTTGTCTTCATTAGGATTTCACATGCGACACTAAGTAATACTGACATACAAGCCACCCAGAAAAATTCATAAGGTTAAACATTTAATCATAAATCTTCAAAACGCACAAAAAAGGACATGTAATATTTATGATGCATATATTACTCACGATTGCCTCATCAGTCATCCAAGTGGGAGAAAAATACGTGCAAAAGGAAAAAAAATTCATTTTACTTGCATCAAAAATTCATACAATAAATATAAAATGCATAAGAAACATAAATATACATGACTTGTATAAAATATAGATACAATAAACAGTGTTTTTTCAACAACCATTATAATAAACAGATATAAAAACTAACATTCCCTCCAATCATCCTTCAACTATAATATCTGTAGTTTGTTCCCTAAACTATGTCATCTTGCTTGCACCTTCCCTTAAGTGCAAGTCTCGGGCACATCGTTTTCGGCCCATGACAAAGACTGTCCAATACAATATTCATATGCCTCAACAGGGACATGTGAATGATCCTCATCTGCCCTACAGAAATCAATGTCGTTGCGGGAAGGATGCCGCCGAATATAATTGTGAAGAGTCATCGTGACAATCATAATCTGCACCTATTTGGGAAATAGAAAAGTTGGTATATCGATAAGTATAACTTATTTCTTCTGTCAAACTCTAAATGTCCTCTCAATGACACAGTGTAAGAATGAGTGTTTTTTGTTGAACATTTCTCTCCTACCCCATTTGATATTACCTGAAAATATGGTATATATCGCACATCATGTGAAATCTCTGTTAACGATCCATTCAAATGTAAGATATGTTGGTTTTATGACTTGTGAAGAAAAACTAACAAGTACATTCAACCCTACCGAAAAATATTTGGAATTGTCACAATATAAAAAGACATGTCCTCATAAATTTCTGGAGTTGCCTCCATAATACACATAACCTGCTGAGCATAAGTTGTTTGTGATTGGTCGGGGTCATTGGTGCATGAAACGACCAACTGTGAAATCTCGTTTCTAATGAAAGCAGCTCCATCTTTTTTCTTCTTCTCAACCCTGTGCCGCTTTGATTGGCTAGTGGGTTTCACCTCATTGAGGTTCGGATCAGGGCTTTCATTAGAATCGCCTGTTCGTTCAATTCCCAAAATTTCAGAGATGCCACCAAACGTCGTCTCACTAAGAGCACATGCATTGTTGTTCTTTGCCACAACACCATTAAACATAGGATCTAACTTCTTTTTCAGCTTAGGATCGATGCAACTATATTTAAATTTTTTCGTACCTGGCATCACCTACAAATTCATGTGACATGTTGATGGATTTAAGAAAAAAAATTGACAAAAGCAATTAACGTTTCAAAAATGTCGACCGCTAGTTTCTCTGTCCACCACTCTTTTGAAGCATCAGTTGTTCGCTTTATCAGATCCTAATCTAAGCTAGTGGATCCTCGCTTCAATTCTTTACATATTTTCCAATCCCTTCTTAGCTGATCTCACTTGCTTTTTAATCGCATCATATCGTATTATGTCTGTATTTTCCTTGAATTTTTTAATAACATGTTACCAACCCTCCTTGTTAAAATAGGTTATTGGCATATTTTCCAATTTGACCTCCTTGAGGCAAAGCTCGCAAAAAAATTTTTTTTATTATTTTTTTATCCCATATTGCAGATGAACTGACATTTTTTGTCTAAATCATTGATTATTAGTACGAAAACAACTAATCAACATAAATAGGAAAGACAGAATACCATGACTCAAAGAAAAATAAGAATGCCACAATATCATCACAAATGTCTCTCCACACCACACCACTTACACGTCACCACCACCACCACCTTCATACACCAACACTTCCACACACCAACATATCAAGAAACCAACACATCCACAATACTACTACTATCACCTCCACACATCAACATATCCACGACACCAACACATCCACAACACCCCTACCACCACCTTCACACACCAACACCTTCAAACGAACCGCCATTACCACCACGTCCACACATCACCACCTCCACACATCCATAAATACATCCATCAACACAAACACAACCACACGCGAACCACCATCTCCACAACACCACCACCTCCACACACAAACCAACATATACCACCACCTTAAAATCCACACATAAACACATCCACCAACACAAATTCATCCACACACCAACATTCTACATGCAACACCACTACCACAACCTCTATACAAACAACTCAACACACCAACACATCCACAACATTATTGCCATCACCTTCACACATTAATATATGGCTCATACATGTTCCAAACAGCGCACATATATTTCCAAATGATTGCACACACAATCAACACTGTCACAATAACAAAATAGAGCAAACAGAAAACCATATTCTCGTTACATTTTCTTTTCAAATTCTTCATTTTTTTTAATTCTCATTGTGAAGACAAGATTCACCAGAAAACCACCCCCACATATTCAAAATATACACAGCACTCGAAACATTGTTTTCTACAAAATTTCGAAACAATATTCACATTCAAAAAGAATAACAACTGAACAGAGCAAATACAGAGCAAAATCACAACAGAACAAAGAAAACCAAATCCCAAAATCCAACATCAATTGAAAGTCCTTGCACATATGCATTTCCAAAAATAAAAAACCATGGCATAGTAAGGTACAAAATACTGGAAAATAAGCAAAGGCAAACCTCAAAAACCACAACACGAAGAAGAACCACCGCATAGAGAGCAGAGAAAATAATTCAAACAGAGCCAAAAAACAAAGGGAGGAGAGGGAGATGAAAACTCCCCTCAACAATTCCAGAGAAGCGAGAGAGAAAGAGGCAACACGTTACACCTTCCAATCACGAGAGAGAGGGATTAGGGCAAGCGTCGCGATAGAGAAAGGAGGCACCACCAAATCGTGAGAGAGAGGGATTAGAGTAAGAGTCGCAAGAGAGGAAGAAATGCACACGAGATCGCGAGGGCAGCTGCGTTAAAAAAATAATTTAAAAAAAAATTCTAAAGGAACACAGGTTGCGGGGTCGAACCCGCAGCCACATTTAATCACAGATTTTTCAAAAACGCCACTGCACTGCAACATCCAAACACCCCTTACTATATTTCGCACCGCACCGTAGCTAAGAAGTTGCGCCAAACGAATTGTAAGTTTGTGAAGTTGGGTCGGAAGGGAATCAAAGTGCTTCTAAGATATTTCTTAATAGGAAGAATTACATACATACCCCTCAATTCTTATGTATTCCCATATCTAACTCTTGAACTTCAATTTTTACATATACATCAACTTACCTATTCATGAAAAGCTGAAATTTAAATTTTAGAAGTTCAAAAAGTGATATTTTTTATGTGATGAAAATTTTGAGTGGCATAAATGTAGATACAAAAGAATTGGGTGATATGTACGTAAATGCTCCTTACGATTAAAACTATTTACTAGATCTTGCATTCTTTCAAAAATTTCATATTTCTAACTTATATCAGTTTATTTGTTTTAAATATTCGTGATTAAAATATAAATTGCATGCAATAATTAGTATTGTCATTCTGTAAAAATTGCAAAACAAAGACAAAGTTGTCTCAATGACGTACATGTAGTACAAAAAGACATTTAGATCAATGGAGTATGACGATTATGTAAGCAAACAATGAAGAGCAATGTTGTGTTCAATTTTGCATTGCAAAATGCAACTATATTATTTTTAAAACATAAAATATTTGGGGCATCTCTTTCTTATTCGTGTACAGTTTTTAAAATCATTATTTGTAAATAAACTTCTCCTGTTTAATTATATTTTATGTAACATTTAGTAAATACACATTTAAATGAATTACAATATTGTCCTCTTATTAAAAAATCAGTATAACTTTGATGCTCTCGTCTCTTATCTTTACCATAGATTAGTGTTTCTCTGCATTACACCAAACATTGATATTTATAAATTAACTACTAAACTATTGAAAATTTATATGTGCCACAATCAGATTATTAAGAATTTGAAAAAAATAAAAAATATGGGTTGGGATTTTACCATGACTTTTGATATTTGAGTGAGAATTTGAAAAATAAATGAAAGATAGTGGTTGATTTGTAAATAGCAGATTTCGGATGGCCTGTATGTCATTGCCCCATTATTGATCACTGATTTATCCATGTTTAATTTCAATATAATCATAGCCTAGGGTGAATTAGTTAAGGGTTATTTTAATTCAACTTTAATTTATTTATGTTTTAATTTCAAATAAAACATATTTAATAAGCTGAAAATCAAATCAACTTATTTTTAAAAAAAGTCAAAACATCTAAAAATTGTTGCGGGTATTTTCGAGAAAATCTTAATTTATTTTAAAAATTATGCAAAAAATACATTAAACAAAAATATTATATATAATAAAAAACAAAAATGATCCCATACATACCATTGAAAATTCAAATTAGAGTATATAGTACATCTCCCAATCTAGAAATTTTTTCTATAGTATACTAAGAAAATTTTGTGCAACCATGTTTATTAATAATATACAATATTCTTCACAAAATAACCAAATTGACAATACATATGCAATAATCTCAGACGGCAAAACAAGCCAGTAAGCAGTGATGGAAACCTATGGTCTCTGAAACAATATGTTCTCCTGTTCAAGTGCAGTTCTTTCACTGGTTACCAAAACCCAAGTTTCTGAAATCCTCTCCACCCTCCCATTCTCAATATCTACAACACTAAAAGCTCTCAAGCTCCCATCCTCATTTCTAACCTCTGTATGAGACTCATTATTCGTTCTAGAGCTCCCAGCCCGTCCATGGAGCTTCTTCGCTCGGGGGACGATGGCTCCATTCAAATATATGGTGCCGTCGACCCCAACCACAATCATTTTCCTAAGTCCACCATATGCCAATCCCTTGTGCATGTGACCAAAAACAACTAAAGGGATGGGGAGTCTTTTGTTCCTCAGTTCAAGCAAGGCCTTGGCAAGGTCTGTAATGTAATTTTCTTCAATTCTAAACTCAATAGATTTACATACATACCAACCATTTCCTATGTATTTATATGTCTATCACCTAAACTTCAATTTTATGTATACCACATTTACTACGCATGAAAGCATGATTTTCACTTTTTAAAAGTTAATGAAAGATTTGGCGGCATGTGTAAAAAGAGAAGCTTAGGTGTTGGATACGTGAATACATAGGGATTAAGTGGTATGTATGTAAATGTCTCAAAAAGATCAAGGTCATTTCAAGGAAAAAAGGCTTACCTGAATCACCATGGTCGCCGCCTTCAGAAACCCAATCTTTTCCGCATATATCATCCATTTTCGAGCCTAATCCTGCGATGTGGGGATGAGTTTTAAGAGTGTGAAATGGATGTTATTGTTTATTTAGGAGAAGACTATGAGAAGGTGAGATTGAGAACCTGAAGGACCATTGTGAGCAAGGAAAACCAAATTATGGCCATCAGGTGCTCCTAAAGCAGCATTGATGATTTTCTTTTTGCTTTCCTCCAAATTTCGAACCCCGTACCTTGCATGGAATAATATTGGACATATAAGTGGTAATAATGCAGAACTATAACACTGGAATTTTTTATGTGATAATGCATTAAATAAGAGATTTAAAAGGCTGAGGCTTTGAAGGATGAAAAATCATGGATTAAAATAATGCAAATTACTCAGAAAACATTGACACGAAGAGAAGATCTTTAACCGTACAATACACTGTACAATTAGAAAAATTGTCAGTGTTCTTTAAGCTCATAGACATTTATCTAGAGAACAACTAGAAAGCCCTGCAGGACTGCAGCCTTAACTTTTAGTCACATCGAAATTTTCAATAGGATTTAAATGTTAAAATACAACAACAACAACAATAAAACCTATATCGCACTAAGTGGGGTCGGCTACATGAATCATTTTTCTCCAATGCATCATATTTAGTATCATATTTTCATTTAAGTCTAATAAACTATGATCATTTTTTATACGATAAGCCCAAGTCATTCTAGGCCTACCTCTGTCATTCTTAACATAAGTCGAATAAAAAATATCTACTCTTCTAATCAGATCATTAGATGGTCAGCGTTTAATGTGACCAAACCATCTAAGATGACTCTCTCTAATTTTGTCCGTCACTGGAGCTACACCAACCCTAAAACAGATATATTGATTTCGCATTTTTGTCTCTAAGTGTAAAGCCACTCATCCACCTAATCATTCTCATCTCGGCAACACTTAACTTAAATTTATGCTTCTCTTCTAAAGGCCAACATTCAGCGCCATAGAGCATTGCGGGTCTCACCACCGTCTTATAAAATTTTGCTTTCAGTCTAAGTGGTACTTTTCTATCACACAATGGGCCCGAAGCATTCCTTCACTTCAACCAACCAAGTTGAATTCTACTAATAACATCCCCATTAATATCCCCATCACTTTGAACAATAGATCCAAGATATCTAAAGCATTCAAAACTCTTAATAATTTGATCACCCATAGTTAATTTTTTGTCAGTAGAGCTACTACTACTAGAATTACATTCCATGTGTTCAGTTTTAGTTCTACTCAAACGAAGGCCTTTAGACTCTAAGGTAGACCTCCATAATTCAAATTTTTACTGAGCTTCTTCTCTCATCTCATCTTATCCACGACAAGAATATCATCAGCAAAAAGTATACACCAAGGTACATCCTCCTATAACTGTACAATAAGAACATCCATAACTAAGGCAAAAAGATGTGGGCTTAAATCTGATCCCCGATGTAAACCAGCAGAAATAGGAAAATATTTTATCAATCCTCCTTCTGTTCGAACAAAAATAACACTTCTTGTATAAATATCACTTAAATATAAGTCATATCAACACATTTCTTCTTAAGAACTCTCCAAAGGTTATATCTTGGAATCTTATCATAACTTTTTTCTAAATCAATAAAAATCATATGTATCCTTCTTATTATCTCTGAACTTCTCCATCAAACCTCACAATAAATGTATAGCTTTCATAGTAGACCTGTCCAACATAAATCCAAAATATTATGAGAAATCTTTGTAGTATGTCTTAACCTAAGTTCAATTACCCTCTCCCATAATTTTAAAGCATGGCAAATCAACTTAATTCCTCCATAATTGGCACACTCTTGTGCACCCATTTATTTTTAAAAATTGGGACCAAAATAGTCTTCCTCCACTCCTCAGGCATCTTTTTAGTTTGTAAAATAATATTAAAGAGTTTAGCAAGCCAAGAAACTCTCAAATCTCCAAAATATTTCCACACTTCATTTGATATAACAATTGGGATATCATCAAATCATACAGACTTTCCACCTTTGGTTTTCTTTAAAGCCTCACCAACTTCTTTTTTACTAATGCGACGGTAAAAATAAAACATTTAATTATTACTAATGATATTAAAATCACTCACGTCGATGGCTTTTTTCAAAATTTCATTAAAAAGTTTATATCAAAATAACTCCCACCCATTTTGAATATCTTTTTTTAAGAAAATCACTTTTTTTTATTTTCATCTTTATTTAATATACTTTACTTGAATTAAATTTTTACTTTTCTTTTTTGTTTGTTTGGCTAGTTTATACATATATTTTTCATCCTACTTAGTATCTAATATATTATAAAGATCACTAAAAGTAAAATTTTTAGCGTCATAAATTGTTCTCTTAGGCTCCCTATAGGTCATTTGATATTTTTATTAGTTTTTTAAGTTTTTGTATTTAAACCAATTTTTATAATATATCTTCTTAATTTTAGCTTTTCTTGCACATTTTTATTCCACCACCAACTTTTTTTATTTATAGAAATTTTTTTCTTTTGACTCTCCAAGTACAACTTTTGTCACTTGTTTAATAGTTTTTGTTAATTTATCTCAAATAAAATTTGCTTCTTCATCAACATTCTAAATTTTGCAATCTTGAATTTTAGTCATAAAAATAATTTTATTTGTCTTTTAGGTGCCCCAAGCTAATTTTACGACGATGGTTCTTAGTATTCTTTATTTTACAACTCTTCATCTTAAAATCTAGAACTAATAATTGATGTTGAGTACTTAAATCTTCAATTGGAATGACCTCACAATCTTTGCATTCTCGAAGATCTCTTCTTCTCATAAAAAAATAATCAAGTTGTGTTTTATTAGATCCATTCTTATATATAATAATATGCTCATCTCTTTTTTTAAATAAAATATTAGCATTAGCAAAATCATAGCTAAAGCAAAATCTAATATAGCTCTATCTTCTTCATTAATCACTCCAAAATCGTAGTCACCATGAATAATCCTAAAATCTTCCACCACTCTACCGCCATGTTCATTTAAATCTCCTCAAGTAAAAATTCTTTCTTCAAGAGGTATCAAATATATTAAATCTTCTAAGTCATTCCAGAATTTATCTTTAGAATCTATATCTAAGCCTATTTGAGGAGCATAAAAACTTATAATATTAAAAATCTTAGTTTCGGCAATAATCTTAAGAGCTATAATTCTATCTCCAACTCAATTAATTTTTACAACATTATCTTTCAAATTCTTATCTATAATTACGCCTATCTCATTTCTACTGTGACTTTTACCTGAATACCAAAGTTTAAAACCTAAGTTATCAATCTCCTTAGCTTTTTCTTCAACTCATTTGTTTCTTGAACACATAAGATATTTATACTTTAATAAATCATAATATCAATTAATTTATTGATTTACCAGTAAGAGTCCCTATATTCCAAGATCCTAGTTTAATATTAGTTTCATGGACTAACTTCTTTACTTGCATTTGTCATTAATGTGATAACCCTTCCTTATTTAACACGGCCCTTGCACACTTTTCACTGTATTCAGTCCATACAACGCGTCGCTTCCAGGGGACCCCTAGCACTTACACAATGATCAAAATGATTTGTGTCATGATTTTTTCAACAAGTTCTACGTTGGCTGTCGACTAACTAACGCAACCCTCCACTTTTTACATCCGGGCTTGGGACCGGCCGGCAATGACAGTGTTATTTTAAATGATAAAATTAAATTATTCAAACAAAAGTAACTAGAGCAAAACTAAGTCTGATTGAATGCCATTGGAACTAGCAATGAATTCAAGAAAATGAATTTGGATAGCGAATTCATATTTTGACATATTTAGAAATAATTTATGTTGATGTAATGTATTAAAAAGTAAGATAAGCTGATGTAGGTGTTGATCAAAAGGACTATAAACAAAAAAATCATTAAAATGCATGGCACCCGCCCAAGAAAAGCCTTCAGAGTCTTATACATAAGTCTCATAAAAATATTTGACGCATTGCAAAGATCAAATAGCTTAACTCGCCACTCATACAACCCTTCCCGGGTTTTAAATGATGTTTTTCATTCATTTCCAGGTCTGATTCGAATATGATGACATCCCTGTCCAATTTAGAGAAAATTTAGCTCCAAGCAGTTTCTCCAAGAGGTCTTCCAACAATGGCATTGGAAACCTGAATTTGTTTGTAATTTTATCGATAGCTCGGCTATCTACACCAATGCAACACTTTTCATAAAAGATAATGACTAATAAACAACGTAAGAGAAACCTGACTTGTAGATTATTAACCTTCTAGTATTTTATGACCATTAAAATGACAAATTTAAAGCTTGCTTGAAATGATGACAACTGGACAAAACAATTAGAAGTGCCATCAGCAAGAATGTGGTTAGGTTTTATAAGAAATTAACACAATTTTAGAATGGTCTATTTAATTTTGCACAATCATGGCTGTACAGAAAATAAATTAAGAAAAAAAAAATTCCAAGAACAACCAGCATAGTAATAGGCTACTACATGACTACCTGAAAAGAAACTCATTAAGATTAATTCAAGGTCCACTAACCTTTGAGAAAGAAGCTTTGGTCGAAATAGTTTGTCGCCTCCAGAAGAAAATGGCCGACCACCCACAACACTAAGCTTTAGCTCTGGCATGTCCAAACGACTGTAGGCAACATGGTGCTTACCAAGTCTGTCAACGAAGAAATCACCTCAATTTTCAAGAAATTGAATCAGCCAACCAAACAAGTTACTTGCATGCTTGCAATTTGAAGTCCTCAACCAAATATGGGTAGTGGTAATATGAAACCAACAAAACAGTAGATAGATACTCAATAATCCATCATTAGTAAATAACAATTACAAACATTAACTAATTTGTATACTAAGCGTTCATAAAATGTTGATCTTGTAGAAATATGAGTGATATCAAAATACACATCAGATTATAAGGGAAACAAAAGCTAAAATAATGCAAAACATTTTCTTCTAATGCGAAAAATTACCAAATCTTAAATTACAATTCACATTAGCCAAAAAAACCGTAAACATGTCCTGCCATGGAACAGTTAACTAAGATGAAAAACAGCCTGAATTGTTGAAATTCGGAAAGCTGGAAAACTAATCCATTTATGAAGTGTTTGGTTTGGACATTGAGTAACAAAACTAGCTTTCAAGCTTTACATTTTTGGGCTTCAAAAGAAAGTATTTCAGAACCAGCTTGAAGCTCTGAGGGTTGAAGCTTAGCACATTAGAAGCCTTCATTTCTATTCTTAAACCTCAGGCTTTCCACCTGTTGTGCAATGAGATAGGTAGTGCGGAAACCGATTCAAGAGATCCCAAACAAAACTTTGAACATAAGTCCACAAAGCAAGAAATCACAAAAAACACAAAGAACACAAAGGTTTAATGTGGAAAAGCCAAAAAGGACAAAAACTACACCAAACTAAGAAATTCACTATGAAACATGAGAGGAATTGTACAAATTACACTACACTCAAGTCTCTCCATACTTTGGAACTCAAGAACACTTCTCTTCTTCCTTGCACGGTAGAGCTTAGAACACAAACAAACTAAACTTCCGCAGCAATGTCGAAGACTTAAATTCCCAAACTGTCAAAATAGTTGTTGGCACCGGAGCGCCATCCCTGAGCGTCAGGTTTTTAGGCGCTCGAGTTTCAGATCGATCTAAGCGTGGTTACAACCCTCCTGGGTACCGCAATTCCTTGCTCCTTGCTCCGGAAACATGTTGTTGGGGGCTTAGGAACCCCACTAGCGTTAGGGCGCCACTCCAGGCGCCAAGATGCCCCAACTTTCCACAATCAGGCTCCACATATAATAATCTCCCACTTGGAGAATTATTACAATTAATTCCTCTCCTCCAAATTTGTATCATCTTCATAGTGATGTACTGTAGTATGGCTCAATCTCGATTTCAACCTTCCAGAACTTCCACTGAAGCCAAGCATAGCTTCAGTTTCTCAGTTGTAACAACTATATATATATATATGTATATATATATATATATATATATGTAT